GCAGCCGGGAGCGAGGAGATCAGCTCAGCCGCTCTGCCTTCCCTTGCTGTCCCCAGAGAAGGCCCCAGCAGGGACCGTCTCCTCCCAGCGTCAGCCCTCGCAGGGGGACACCAGCTGGTTTCCCCAGATGAGAAGCAAGGGAAGTTATTAACTGTCTGGCAAAGTGTTGTTTTTATCCTAGTGATAAGGAAAACCTGCAAATGAGTCTTATCAAGCCTGGAATATCAAAATACAAATTATAAAGAGAACCACCGACCCCTGCTGAGTGCTCAGAGTGATTTCAGCTTGGGGCTACGAGGTTCTTCCCACAGGAGCGGCACAGGACCACTGGCTCCAGCCTGCTCCCTCCACCCCCTGGGACCACCCCAGCCACAACACCGGGTCACAGCACTGCTCTGAGCTGCACAGCTCAAACCCCAGCCATTGGCTGCCATCAAGGATGCCGAGCAGTGGAAAACCCAAACTAATAAAATATAGCAGGCAAGAGGGAGAGGAACAGCTTCTCCAGATCATTTAACCTCCCATTGGGTTGAAGTCATTTAAAGAAACTAAGTATTGTAAGTATTTCTGGGAAAGAGGTTATGAGCATTTGAAGTGATACACATGGGTTCCTCTTGCACAGATTCCTCTGAAAAAGATTAATTTCCTCTTATGATGCCTTATGGGCAAATTGCATGTTGAACAAAATGTCTCCACTCGTCCCAATCCTGCAGGAAGAATCATTGCAAGCAGCTGTGGGCTCCTTTCCTCCGGCCTCACCCAGGAGAGGGAGGGAGGGAAGGGCAGCTGGCAAGGTACGAGCGTGTCCAGGTCACTACAGGGCCAATCATTGAAATATTAAAAGGAGGGGAGAAACCCACACAAAACTCAAAATGACTGGCTCAGACTTCGGAGAATTTTTAAAATAACACATTCTGGCTTGCTGCTGCATCTTCAGGCTGCGTTCTGGTTTGTGCTGCCATTGTACTCCAGCCAAGTAGTTATTTGCTTTGTTTTTAAACCGAAACTGAGATTTACATAAAGTCTCTTTATTCCAGAAACACAAAGTTTTTGGAAAACCACCAAATAAAGAGCTCTGGTTTTCACAGCCAATCTGTCTCAGGAGAGGACCACTCCCACACAGGCTGCTCGCCCCAGCCCAGGCAGCTGCCTGCACCTCTGGCATGGTGGGAGGAGAGCTGGGAATGGTGGGAGCTGGGCGAGCAGGTGGGCAGATGCCATCGGGAAGGCAGGAAGAACGTCCTGGCTCAACAGGACGCCATCCACATCCGCCACCCTCGCACAAGAGCTGTTATGCCGCAGCATCCTCCTTCACCGCAAGTGTCAGAGCTGCCCTTTGCATCACGTTTTAGCACAAGCGAGTCCCTCTGGTGCATCCAGCGTGCCAGGGCAGGGAGGCGAGGCAGGGGTGCCCACCTTCAGTGTTCAGTTCCAACAGAGGAAAGGCTCGGCTGGTTCAGCTTGTGGCTCATTAGAGACCAGCACGGACCCGGCTGCGAACACATGTGCCTGCCTGGGTTCCCTCCTGGGCAGAGGAGGGTTTTCTGCCGCAGGAGCTTGTCTCCACTCCCACGGAGCCCTCTCCCTCCCACATCCACCCCCAGTGCCCTGCACAGTGCAGTTCCAGCTCAGGCGGAGCTGTGATTTCACACTGAGCACTCTGCACCGACATCACCAGTGCGGGAAGTGCTCGGCACTGGATGAGCTCAAGGACAACTCCTGCCTGGTGCAGCTTCCAACCCCTTAACTTGGCCTCCCAGAGCCCTTTTCTTCCCCTTCAGGGCTTGTCTACACAGAAGAACCTCAAGGGTGAGTTTGTTTTGTTGTTGGTTGTTTGTGTTTTGTGGTTCTTTTTAAACCATACATCTCAATGCTAACAATGAAAAGAAAAAATAAACATAAAAAATATTTTCACTGTGGAAAATTAACATTAACCATGGACTCAATGTACATGGAGCGTCTGGAAAGTAACACTGCGATGTCACAGCAGGGAAGGCACCAGAGCAAGGCAGCACCGGCCATCTGCCCGAGCACCTGGCGCTGCTGAGCTCCAGCACTCACCCAAGCAGACCGGGCAGATCAATGCCTTCAAGTCTTGATCACATCCTCCTTCTGGGGACTAAGGAGGATCCAGGTGCGTTCAGCAGTCACTCTGGTTTGCCCTGCTCCCCGGGTGAGTCCGCCCGCAGTAATACCAGTTAACACTCAACAGTCAGCACTCAAAAAAAAAACCCAGCAAAAAACAGTCTCTTTTTTCTGTTCTTCCAGGTTTTGTCCATGCTGCCTTGCTAAGCAGCACCACGCCCCTGAAGACCACATTATAGCAGGCCCATGATAACATTAGCCAGCCCTGGGGGCCGCATGGCTGCTGGTAGCTCTCTGCGCTGTCCCCCAGCAGCCACAGCCGCCCTCCAAGCCCCCTCCCATTGCTCAGGCCATTTCTGCCCTTGAAACGAGCCAGGTCCAACAGTAGAAACGGCAGAGTTACATCAGGATGGCTCAAGCCCACGACGCACAGCTCCCCGTGCCCCACTCCAGCACTGCTGTCACCCCCGTAATGGCCCTGTCATTCCTCCCTGTGTTTTTCAGCGACTGTGTGCAGGAGAGGCCGTGTCCCCTGGGTGCTC